GAGGAATGCAAAGGAAGCAAAGACATAACAAAAAACCTAGACTTCACGTACCTCACTTAGTTGTAGGTGAGCTAACGGATGTCTTCTATCTTAGCTTTGGTAATACATTTGCAACTTCTGTTTTGGTTGATTGGGTTTTTTGTTTGTTTGTTTTTAAATCTTAGCAGTCATTCCTTCCTTCCTTCCCACTCATCATATCTTACATCCAAGACATTCACTCCTCTTCCCTTAGCGAATTCTCTCCTGCTCCCCTGCCAGTGTGTTGGGAGCTTACATTTTCCCAGTACATCCCTACTGATTCTCAATGCACCATGCTACTTTTACAGAGGCAAAGAGAGGATGCAGCACTTCAGGGGCAGGGAATACACACTTCCCCTTTTCCACAGTGTTTTGCAACTCCCACACATGATCCAGTGTTGGGCAGGAATGAGCGTCCCTGCACGTGACGTGTGGGTTGTGCCTCTCAGGACAATTTCTTCAGCTCTTCCCCTCTAACCATCCCAGTTTCTTATTTTAGCAAAGGGCTAAGCTAAAGAAAAAGCCTCTCCCTGCAGTGCCAGTGTGGCACTGAAGTTTGTCTTCCAATCCCCATTTGTAGGTCTCTGATGATTTGCCTGTTATGTCCATGCTGTGTTGCCGAAGAACACTCCCCATTTCCTAGATGGGCTGTCAACTTTCATCCTTGTACTGACTCTACCTTGGAATATAAGTTGGATGTGGTTCTCCTTCCACGTCCCTCTCTTCCTCTGTCACGAAGCTTGAGCACACAATATGGAGTGTTTGTATAAGACTCCTTCTACCTAATTCCATAGAAATTTCAGGGCTCAGTAGGGTTGAAGTATTTGCTGCTGAGAGGTGTGTTTAACATTAACTGCAGGGAAGAGAGACTCCATTAGGGCTCTTTACATATAAAAATGAAGATTCCCAGATACTTGTAGCCAGGGGATAGACAGTTATCCAAAGTACGGTCACATATTGTACAGCTGCATTAACCCATCTCTTGGAGATGTATCTGCTAAAGGAAAAACCAATAAACATTTGTGAAGCAAAAACATTTTTCTCCTCTTCTTCTTTCTGCTGGTTCTGAGTCACGGAGCCTGTTTATGGAGATGCCAAAAGACAGCACTACACAAGAAAGCCTGGGAATGGTTAAACTTAATCAGGGATTAAAGGGTCTTTTAGAAGTGCTCATGGACTCAAAGCGTGCTTTCAGCTTACCAGGTTCACAGTGTTTTGGTTTTTTAATATATCACAAATTTCCTGTTAAAATCACCTGTCCTTTCAATTCTGGTTTGTCCCTGGGGAAAGCCCTGACTACAGCTTGATACATTTAGAAATTACAGATTAACCAGTGAGTCTTTGTGCTGATACAGATGGGGCTTCTCAGCCGTACCATGAATCCTCACACTTTCCTTTCAAGCCATGTAAGGCCTTAAGGAGTCAGGTGAGAGGGCCAGGGGGGACCTGAGGTAAACAGCAACATCACCTTCTATATTACACAGGAACTCTAAGAATTTCTGCAACATCAGCTGTTTTGGCCTGTTTAGTTCACTCTGCAGGAAGGGAGATTGCTGGAACACACTATCCAATCCTATTTAGTAGTTCCTACCTCTCCTCTATTGTCTGTGTTCACTGCTGAGATAGGTCTACCCTGTCATATTCAGCACTTGCTTTTTCCTGGAGCTCAGAGCATCCATCAGCTTCTGAGCAGAGGCTTCTGTTCTTGCAAACAAACTTGAAAAAAAATTCTGTAGAACAGTAGGCCAGTGACAGGACCTGAGCAAATTTCCTCCCAATTCAAACAGCACCAGTCTGACCCCTGGAAAGCCAAAACAGAGAGAAATTGTCCTTTGAAATGAGGTCACTACAAGAGAGGAGGAGGGGATATTGCTGCTGAGCACATGAGAGAACAATGGTAAGGGGGTGGTTCAGATTAAACAGCTAGACAGAGAGATTAACATCTCATGACTGTTTTTTGTTCACTGACCTGTAATAAAATAAACACTAAGACTTTAACAAATAGGTGATTAGCCTTGTTATTCCAGTGCTGTCTTTGCTATGGAGTACTGCCATGGCCTTCACTTTTCTTCGAATAATACTTCCTGTTTTTATAGGTGAGACTGGTGGAGTTAAGAGGAATAAGCAGCAGAAATCTTACTATGCTAATAAGCAGGAAAACAGTGTTTTATTTTCAGAGTGCAAGTCCCTGCCCCTTTGCTACTCCCTCTTCTGTTGGCTGGCTGGTATCTGATTGTCTGCACACAAAACTCAAGCCCAGAAGATCAGATGGTTTGCTGCTCACATGTTCAGACAGCCAGAATTAGGGAGCTGAAAGGTGCTTGTAGATGTGGGCACTGTGGGATTGATGAATGATAGCCTTCTGCCACCTTGACTGAAAATTCCTCCTTTCCTGAGCTATATTGTCTCCTGAATAATCAAGGTCTTGCTGCAACTGACCAATTAGTCAGGACAACTTCAAACTCTTTTCTCAGGTATGCAGAAAGTGATGGACATAGTTCAGAGCTCAGATGCAGTGCAGAGTCATGAATTTGTTCAACAGGACCAGAAGAGACTTCTAATCATATGTGCACAGCTAGCACCAGTTGTCACATGCATATATTTAGTGCCTACCGTTGCACTGCAATACTGTCCACAGTGAGAAAAGTAAGAGGTCATTCCTGGTCTGCTCTTTCAAAATACCTGAAATCACAGTACTGAAGCAAGTGGGAAACTCAACAGGGCATTATCCACTTTTCCTTTGGCAATTTAAGAGCTGCCTATTGTACCCCAGAGGCCGACTTCAGCAGCAGAACTCATGGTGGCAGCTTGGTGTTGCAACTCATAGCCCAGTTTATGACACTGAAATCAGATGGTTTCACTCTAACACACTTGACTGTGAACAGCACAGCAGCTGAGGCACAGACATACTGTCTGCCAGACCAGATGATAACTTCTTCAACTGCTCCACACGAATTAGTGAGTCAGTCTTTAGACTCCAGAGTTACTAGAGCACTGCCCATGCAAGCAAGCCTAAATTTCCCCCTCATTTCTGCTACAGTAATCCTGACTTCAGACACGTCACTACTGATTCTCTAGCTAGTCCTGAAAATTCTCACTCATTATGGCAAAGAGCTTTTTCCTAGCCAAAATGTCATGTGGAAACATCTAGCATCCATTGCGGAGTGGCAAAATATCTGTTTTTCCAACAGATTGGTTTAGCAGTAGGACAAAAATATAACCAATCTCTTTTTAAAAGCATTAGTTTGTCAGGTTGGAAAGTCAAGTGCACAGGACTGTTTATCTTCAAGAGGCAGCCAGGAGCAACAGCAAATAAAAGAGTAAAATCTGTGAGAAAATCAGATATACTCCATCCCTGTAAAACACTGTAAAAGATGCTGGCCTCACGAGGGGAGTCATGGTTGAAAGATCTAAGATTGGTTAGAGGTGCTTAAAAAAGAAATTAGCTCAGGCTGGCTCCAAAAGAGAGTTTGTTTGCAGCAAAGCAGAGTCAGAGGGAACACCAACTGCCAAATTCTGCACTGTCACCAGGTCACCTGCCGTTATGGAAGTGATCTGCCAGGTACTTGCACACAGGTATTTCCACTGCCAGTGTTAAACGCATAGTCCATTTAAGTGAAGAAAGTGTATGGCGTGATTCCTAAAGGCATCGAGGGCTAGACTTCATGGCCTTTCATGGGGATTTGCCAGCAGACAAATATCAAGCCCTGAACAGTGTACTTACAGTAGTACCAGCAATACATACAACAGTCAATCAAACATCATGACAAGGAAATCCAGCAGAGTGAAGGCATGTGGTCTGAGGTAACACAGAAAATCTGGGAGAACAGGGCTGAATATACTAAACAGGACAGGAAGGTATCTAACCTGTTTGGAAACGGTGAGTGCACATTAGCTCCTGTCATTTAATATGGATACAGTTAAAAACAATATCAGTTAAGTGGTTTGTGATGGAAGGCTGTGAAGGTGGAGGTTTGATATCCCCCCCATCCATTTCCCTAGAATACACCCTTCTCTTTCTCTTTCCTTTTTTGCTCAGCACTGAAAGCCCATTTCTTTGGCCTGAAATCTTGTAAACGGAGCTGCGCTCCACTAAGTCTCCCAAACTTTACCCTGCCCTCCCTCCTTACAGCCACAAACACTCATTTGTTCCACTGGAGGTGGAGACCATGTAGTTGAAAACAGAGTTCTTTAAATAAATTAGATCTACAAAGGTGTTTAGCTGCATGCCAAGTTCCTGATGAATCATGTTGACAAGTTCTTCATATGCTTGATTGAGTTCCCCCAAATACATAAGATTGTAAATCTGGTTTTGGAGTGCAGTAGTTTTGATCTGAAGCCTCACCTACTGTTGATGTAAGACATTTGTATAACCAGCTTTGCATATTACATGAAGCAGTTTGTTTTTTAAGAGCCTAAGATTTAGGTGCAAGAAAATGATAATCAGAAGAGAACAAGTTAAGGTTTGTTCCAGCCCTCACCAAACAAGAAGAAAACAGATGAAAAGTTCCAAAACAGAGAAATACAGTTTTCTGTAACCTACTAGCTGTGCTTTAGTATTAAAGCACTCTGCTTCACCCTTAACCAATAATTCTTCTGTGTTCCAGACAGAGAGCAACTTGTGTTTAATGCCATTTCCTCCCTTTGAATTTTTAAACAGGCTTTCAAAGAGAAAAAACTGAACCAACTGACTCAAACTGATTTACAATGTTAGCCAGTAATTCATATAAGTGACAAACATCTAGTAAGAACCATTTGATTTCAATCTTTATAGTCTTCAGGGATGCAGCAGTTAATCACACACCAGGAAGAGGCTGAAAGTTTTAATTGCTATTTCCTCCTAACATGCCTATGTTAAAATCTGTACACAGTGGAAGGGATTAGTAGGCAAAGGGTAACAACACCACGTGAGAATGAAACTTTTCCTGCCTCCAGGATAAGGCATGTGACAAAGTATTGAAACTGAAGCAAAATTCACCTGCTCTCAAAAAAGGAAAGATTGGGACAAACTTAGGCAAGAGGTAACCAACAGGGGGTGGGGAAGGAGAGGAACAGACCCACATCAGAAACTGCTCAGGTCTTGTGAGTTCAATAGCTTTCAGGCAAAGGAGGTTCTGTAAAGAACCATTCTTACACACTTATATATATGCTTGTACCTATCCCACATTGGGTCAGGTGCACCACATGCAACAGCTGATAGCAGCTGAAAGTGTAGTCTACCCCATAGTTACACGATAATTCACTTGCACACAGCATCAGCAAATGCAGCCCAAACCCCAGAAAAAATAAGTCTCCCACAGTAAATGTAATAAATGCCATAACTACAAAAAAGACAAAACATGAGATCTCTCCACAGCTTAGAATAGTCTCTTCTGTGTTACTCTTTGCATTAGGATTATGGTGTACAAAAGCAACCACAATGTCTGTGTGTGCTCACAGCTCTCAACTTTCATCTCACCAAACCATCAGAAATGGGAAAGATAAGTGAAAACCCCAGTATATCAGTACCCTGCTCTGACACAGACACCAGGACAGACTATAAGTCTTTGCAAATGTTTATATTGCAGATCATTTTCTTTATGAAAAGAAGAGCTTCTGGGGCCACTGCTATGAATGTAGCAGTGACCACCTTGACCTGCACCCCTCTGTGAAAGAAAGCAATTCCATCCAGGTGAAAAAGGGCAGCTGGATAATTTACAAGAGCCCCAGTTACTCAGGACATCAGTACTTTTTGAAAAGGGAGGCAATTCTGACTTCCAGAAGTGGTTCAGTCTCTGCAACTCCATCGGGTCTTGCCATGTAATGCTACAAGTGAGTTCTGCTTGGCAGAGAATCACAGTTTAAGAAACTGGGTATAGTTTATCCTTTAAGAATACAGTTACAGTCTCTTCAAGCAACTCAAGAGTCAGGAAAAGTTCAGTAAGGCAATGCAAAGTTTCACTGGAGATGAAGGAAATAATCTGTTTAATATCAGTGCTATTTCCAGGGCCTTTTCATAACTTGAAGATGCAAAAAAGGTCATGTCACTATTCCTAGGTAGAGAATATCTTCACATCACCTAGGGAAGGGCCAGCAGCGCCAGCTGACATAAAGTTCTGCTGTGGGCTGATGTATGCAACTTGCTTATGTCCACACTATCTTATGATTCAGTGACACCAGAACATGTTAAATCAGCTCACTGATATTTGTCCCAGGCTACGTCCATCTCCCTGAGATCTCCTCCTTCAATGTCTTAGGTGGCTCTTGGGTGTTGTATGAAATGCATAACTTCAGGGCAGACAGTATTTACTGAAACCTAGGGAATACAGAGGTACCCTTGATTGCAGTGCAGTAAATGCCAAAAACTGTCTCTTTGCAGAGGCCAGCTGACTTGCACTGAGTTATTGCTCACATACTAAGTAAATAGTGAATGCATTCCAAAATCTCGCTTCAAACAAATCTTTCTTCAGTACTACAAACAAATTCAAGCTTTACAGTCCCAAGGAAATACTATTTCTTTCACATTTTAAGGGGACAGGGGGGATACTTTTAAAAAATATTCACAATTAGCCAGCTGTTCCATGGTACATGATAAGTTAAATAACTGTTAAAGGTCTAACTGTATATTGCTAACCCTGGGGGAGGTGTTGGGAAAGGTCTGATTCTTTCATCTAAGTTTTCTCTAGTTTTACAAATTTTGATCTAGTAATAAATTCCAGCTCTATACTTACCAGAGATAACAATGTGCAGTTGGACCTTTAACAGTTATTTAAAATATCATGTACTGTGGAACAGAAAATAAATCCCATTAATAGTTATATCCAGGACTGAGGAAGAAAAGGACAGAAGTGTGCAGAGGAACTCACAATAAGGTGAACACTGTATTTGACATCAAATTCTTCATGCAAACAAGCTGCTCCACCAATGCTACCACCAATCTAGCAAAGCTTTCTAGTCTTATTCCAGCTGATTCCTTAAAAGTTAATTATTCTAGATCCTTAAATCACACACCTTTATATATAGCATGTTTTAGTGAACTTCATGAACTAGATATTTAGCTGGTGTCAATCACCCTGCTTCTACTAACTTCAGAGCTGCACTGATCTGTTGCAATAGGAGATTGAGCCAAATCCCTCAATTGCCAGGCTATTCTGCAGGCAAAAAGAATTAAATAAGCATACCAGTGTGGATTAGAAACAGGACAACATCTTGTGCTTGAAAATGTCTATTGCAGATTTAATTATCATTCATGTAATTATGTATATGCTTACTATTCATCACCAAATCCCGTGCCAGCAGGCACCCTGTGCAGTTATGAATAAGAGCCATAATAAAATATAACAAAACACAGGTAAGGGATCTCACATCTTAACATGCCTCTTCCAGGCAAATATACTACTGTTCTTCAGCAAGGTTCTGGAGACTTTTGTAAAGAAAAAGCAATGCAGAGAGCACAGAACTACTACGACTTTCTGCAACCTTATCTAGTATATGTTCATTTTAAATCATTTCATCTGGGCTTTAAGTGGTAGGCTTTGATTTTGTTTTGCCAAGTAAACATTCTGATAATGGAGTCCTTGAATAGAACCAAGCAACTTTTACAGCAGTGAGGTAGACTGCTTAAAACTCACATCTCTGCTTGGTAATGTCAGAGACCTCATTTAGCCATTATTTCAAGCTCACATGACCCATCAGTTATAACCAGTTAGTGATCCTCTCCAGCCTTTCCCTGACAACACTGGAGAGGAAAATAGAACTATTCTTTGACCTTCTCATCCTTTCTTTTGTACGTGGGACACTATCTCTACCCTCCTGCCTGTCCTTTACTGCATGAAGTAGACTGTCCAGCTGCTGCAGAGGTTTGGTGTACATAAGAACACCATGCTTTAGCCAGAGGGAAATGGAGCATGAACAACTCAGCTCTCAGGACAGAGGTGTGAAAAAGCATGTTTCCTCTTGCTCACAAATTCCTAATATTGTGCATTTATAGGAACTGCAGAGTGTAAGCAATATGTGTGTTAGCATCCTTAGGTTAGTGTGCTAACCCAGGTTTGCAAAAGAATACAGTAATTCAGGTGCAGTATCTACTTATTTGCTTACAACAGGGAACCAAAATATTTAATTTGTCTTCAGCAGGAATAAAAGAAAAAAGAACAGACTAGTTCCCCAGACAGCAATTAACACATGCCTACATACTGCAACAAAATACCAATTAGTGCAATTGAGAACTATGGCTATGCAATGATGAGCAGATTACATGCTGGCATTCCTGTGGTCAAAGGCAAGAATGAACAAAAATAACTATTCAGAGATCAAGGCTATAGGTAGGATGTCTGGATTCTAGACTCTGCTGCATCCTAGAGTTTGGGGGGGGCTAAACCTCTCAAAATGTCTCCACCTGAGACAGGAATGATAGCAGTTCCTAGTTTTCAAGGACCACTGAGGGGCTGCTCTTGCTTTTGTTTGCAAATGCTCAGAGAATCTCAAGCAGACATTAAGAACAATGGTGCTACAGGAGAGGAACATGGGGAATTCACAGACAGTATCCAAGTTTTCACTAACAAGTCTTCTAGCTTCCTGCGCTTGCTTTATCGTTGGTAACAGGCACTACAGTTGCTGGCATGCAGGCTATGTTTCTCTACACAAACACTGCTATTTTCAGACTACTCCTATGCTTGAGTTTTTCTGGGATGCAAAAGCAGTCAATCTCCATGTAAAAGCAGCTGTCATAACAGCATACGGGTTGAGAACAGTTGGAACAGATGTAAATAACCAGACTTCTTAGACCATGGATATCATTTGTCTAAAAAGATATTTTAGCTCCAGAGTTTAAGATCAACCACAGCCCTTCCTGCATTGCACAGTTCATCTGTGGCATAGGGTCCTGGGAGGTGAAAGTCTACAGGATTCAAGAAGAAGCTGGATGGGTTCTTGGAAGACAAATCCATTGAGAGTTATTAATCAGAGAGAAGAAATCTCCTGATCAGGAAACCTCTTGAGCTAAAAAAGCCTGAGGACTTGAAGTTTGAAGGAAATATCACATATATTTGCTTCATATCTACCCTTCCCTCAGTGCCAACTCATGGTTGCAGTTGCTGCCAAGTTTCTTGACTGCCTGGACTGCCCATTTGCCCCATGATGGCTGCTCTGCATTCGTAGCTACAATAAGGAATTCACATATCGCTTCCCCTACTCTGGTCTCTCAAGTTCTAAATTTCATTACCAGTCCAGTGTCCACTGTATTAAACTATGAAGGACTATGTGGGATTCAAAAGACAAGTTGGCTCCACATGCATGATCAAGACAGAACAAAGCAAGCACAATCACAGAAGAACAAAAAAAAGTGTAACACTTCTGAGCCCATCAAAGATCTTTGAGAAATGTAAGCACAGGCCTGCACATAGAAGTTGCTCCTGTAAGTGAATTCAATTTGCTTAGCATTAACCATCAGGAAGAAGTTAATTTTGATCCGAAGAAAGCATACAGGTATTCAGAAGAAACTGCTAGACTCAAATCCACAGTCTTCCCTCAGTCTGCTTTCAGTGTTAAAGACTACAACTTCCTGGCTGAGGAAGCATCTCCAGGAGAGAGACTGACAGGAGTGATACCATTTACAACACCCATCAGAAGCACAACTAGAGCTGTGTAACAACAGGACAGCTAAAGATTTGTCCCTGAGGATTTGTAGCTTCATGAAATCACCATACAAGACTCATAGTCCATTAATTGTATTAACTTTTATTTTAATAGTATATGTATTATTTCATATTTATATATAAAAGCACTTCACCAGTCTTATAAAGCCACTCTGGCTATAAAAGAACATTTAGTACTGAGCTGAAAACCAAACCACATCTCTCATGCCCCAGTCACTGCTCTTACTTCATTACAGGCAAAGTTGGTGACCAGACTACTGCAGAGGCAACCTGACACATCCCATTGTAGAGACACCACCATGTGTTTGAGCCAAAAATAAAGGCATATTTGTCTCATAATAGATTTTTTTTTCTGACTACTTCAGCCCAGAATAGATCTGTGCTTTTCTTTTCTAGACTCATTCTCTGGAAGGATTTTACTCAGAGGGGAGAGGTTGCCAAGATGTGAAATATTTCAATACTCAAACAAAAGACTAAGGATTTGAGATTTGGCCCAGGAATAGCTTTGATGCTGGAATATGTTCCTCCAATGCTCATGAAAAATTAAGTTCTTGAGTATTGTAAGCTTTATGTACAACTCAGTTTCCCTGTCCAGTAGGAGCTACATAGAGCACCACAGCAAGTTTCCAGACACATTCCATCTGCATAGGATAATGCAGCTATTTTTTCACTGACATGCAGTTCAGGGCTTCACTTAGCTAAGACTAGTTCTGTGTCCAAGTCCTGAAAGCTCGTGCACTCTTGTGTCCTCACAAGCTGTAGAGTGAAAGTCACAGATAAAGAGGATGGGAACAAGATGGACTGAAGGGAATTTGACTAGGGAGACGGATGGGAAGTTTCTGAGAAGGAGCAAAGAAACTGAGAATTAATATAGAGGTAGAAAAAAGCCTAAAATTAGGACACATTTCTGCATGATTTCCAGATTAAGAAGAGTGTCCAGAAAGTTCAATGCCACAAATGAAGATACTGAAGTATTGTTGGGTTTGATTGTAGTTCGTTGGTTTTGGTTTTGGTTTTTTTTAACTAAGGTGTTGGACATCACACAGTAGCAGCAATACTCTTGTGCCTATCCAACTGCACTTGAGCACCTGCAAAAACTGTATTGGCATTGATGCAAAAGCAGAAAGTATTTTTCTGTAGCAAATCTTTGCTGTGCTAGATATAAGTCAGAGACAGTTTTGAAACAGTTTATCATCTTAGTAAATGAAAAGAAAAAAAAAACCTGCCCACTTACTACTGTGCAAGAAAAATATGATCAGAAACAGCTCCCCTGCCTCAGCCAGAACCTTATCCAGTTACTACATCAACATCTAGGAAGACTGAGGGCACACGACTGCTGTGGCAATCCAGATACATCACTGAGTTTATTTCTTACCTGCATGTAGAGTTGAAGTGTGGTGAACTTGGCTGGACTCCTCTTCCGCTTTCTGCCCTAGCAAGTGCAGTTCTGCTCTCACTGGAGCAGAAAGAACTCACAGCACCACTACTTTAAATTAGGACCCAGGTGGATTTATTCCTGCTAAACTGACTTTTCCACACTGACTTTTCACTCTTATGTTTAATCTGTATCACATCTAGCAAGCTGCAGTCACCTAGAAGTGCCACTTGATCTCCTGTTATCCACGTTTGGATTTGCCTGTGCATGCCCAGAAGCACAGCAGCTACATATCTCTGAGGAATGACTTCAGAGGCAGGATGTTGAAGTTCACAGATAACTGCTCATCTCTCCACTAGGACTTTCACTCCAGGGACATCCAGTTTCATAATATACTTAAAGGAAGCTGTGTTTTATGTGAACAGCCACACTTCCAAGACAGCAGTACATCCCAAGGCCTGGCAAATACAGGTGATTCACCAAATGGGGTGCCATGACTGCCGAAGTTGAATCCCTCGAACCAACAGTGGATATTTCCTAACCATATTTCCTAAGCATATGTTTAAAAATAGCATCTTTGTAAAAAAATATTATTTCAGACCTTAGAGGAAAAAATGAAATACATTCTTCATTTATGATAATGAAAATCCAGAACTCCAATTGTAACTGAGCCCATGGACTAACTCCATGCTTGAATTGATTACAGGATGTACCTTTCATCTTGAAATGGCCCATAAAAGCAATGGCCTTCACAGTAGTGTTTCTGCTGTGAGTAGACTGGCAAGTTCACAGCAACAGTATCATCATGGAAATACTGCATACCAAGTCTCCAGCTGTGACACTAGATGACTTAAGACAGAGCAAAGCATTTACAGTATTTACCAAGTTTATTAATAAGAATTATTTCTGACAAAGACTATTTGTAATGCTACAGATATCAAAATAAATCTTTCAGTTTCTTATTCACTTCATGATAAAAAAACCCAAACCAAAACAAAAAAACAGTCCTGGTGCCCAGTAGTTCCTGGTGCCATTTGGCATTAAGTCCAGATTTCTGCACAAGACTGAATTACTCCCATTTCCAGCTCAAGGCCTACACTGTGCTCTTTTGTTTAGCCAGGACCTCACACCATTTGTAGACATGAACTCATGTTGACCTTCCACAGCACAGAGAAGTAGCAGCTTTCTCTGGGTGTCTGGGGTTAGGAACCAAAAGAGAGACCCATTATGTTAAAGATTCTATAACCAGTTCAGTGTGCAAGTGGGCCCCCACAAGTTCCTCACATACTCCGTAGCACACTGTTTACATAACACTGCAGAATCATTAAAACTCCGTTTCAAGTTTTACAAGACTAGCCATCATTCAGATCTCTGTACCCTTTCTGTGCTCAGGAGTTAGGCTAGCCAAGTCCCTGGAGTATTCACAAGGGCACACCATTGGTTTCACATCCCACTCAGAAGTAGGCAGTGTGCTGCAGCCAACACCTAACTCCTGGGAAGCTGTGGTGCTAGCATTTTACAAGAATTCCACCTCTAGCAGCAGTTGGAGCTTTCCTAAGACCATTTCCCCTTAGTTACTTCCCTTCATTTGCATTCTTCCCCAAACCAAGAGAAGTTAGGCCCCAAGTTGCTACAGCAGGCATTCTTGGGACAACCTTACCTTGTCAGCTGAGAAGAAATTAAGTTCAGACAGATCACCAGAGAATGCTAACCCCTACACATCCTTGGTTGCTGCCATGATGTTTTGTAGGTTTGTTTTTTTTTTCCTGACACATGGATTGCTTTCAGGAATCATGCTGCAGATCCAGATTGCTGAGCACTGCAACATAAAGAAATAATTCATTAAACAACTTCTTAACTAAAGCAGAATGATGTGAAGTGCAAGTATGGTAATTTCACTGATCACTGGCACTAAGACTGTAAAGGATGGATTACTTTTTTTTTCAGAAGGAAGTTCTCCTTCAGAAGGAAGGAGAACACTTTTATGATGCAATCTTAAGCAGTAAAAACCGGTGTCTTCAGGCATCTTCAAATGAAAGATAGCTATAGCATAAGTCTACACATTCTAGCTCTTGCATAGCTAACCTAAATGACAGCAGAGGAGGGGGCAGTTCCAAGACTGAACTCCTACCCATGAATTTTTGCTGGCTCTTAGAGCTTTTAAGAACCTAGGCAGATCAAAGCATATAAACACATTCTATATATTTAGCACGAAAGAGTCTTTAAGAGGTACCCTACACAAGAACATTCCCAACACAGCTGCAAACTTAAGGCTTGTGATAAAGGAGCCCATGCTACAAAAAAGGGAGCAGAAAAGATCAAGTCACTGCCTGGGCCTTTTACAACAGGAGTCATTATATTGAAGGCCCCCTGTGGAAACAAGCTGAAAGGACAGAGAAGGACAAAAACACTCACCACAGTCCCAGGCTACCCTGGGGTTAATTCCTTCATGAATTTAAGTCTGGAGAATGGTTTAACCCTGCATATATGAAAGCAGGGCAGCCAGGGGCCAGAGGGACTTAATGCTATTAGCCAAACCATCACCTCCCAGCTTTAGCTGTGGCCAGTCTCCAATACTTTGAAAGAAAGCAACTACAATCCCTAGATATCAGCTTATATGTCAAGGGCCAAACAAATTCCTTTCCATTTTCAAATGTTACAAGCAATTAACAAGCCCTGAACTACCTGAGGTACAATATGAATATAGTGACAGAAGGAAAATTAAACACTGAGTTTGCTGATTTAGCTAACAGAATTGCACACTCATCTGGCAATCATAGCCAGAGAAACTCAAGGCAGCTGATTCTGTGCTACCCTCAGCAAAACACCATCACAGAGACCCCGGCATCTTGCAAGGGCCAGCTTGCCCCTTTCCAATAGCCACACCAAATCCAATCTCAAGTTAATTTTGCTTGAATGTCTAGAAACTAGCATCCACAAAACTCTAATTCCTTACATACAGCACAAGGTATTTTGATAGTGGAAGCTTTACACACAGCCACAAGACCATTTGTTTACTTAGACTGTGAAGATTACACCTTGTTTCTGTGCAAGGGTCTGTTTGTAAAGAAAGATGGAAGAATTGAGGGGTAGGTTAATTTCTAAGCTAATTTCCAAGTCCATTTCTATTTTGGGTCTTCATTGTTAGTAGACAAAGCATTAGCTCTAAGACATCAAGAAAAACCTCAGCTGAAAGCTTTGCCTTATCATTTATGTTGGTCTGGGGCATGGTCTCAGTAGAGGCCTTAGGGCCAAACAACAGGTTTGAGAATATTTAAAAGTCAAATACAGATTTTTTTGTCTTTTTTGTTTGCTTCTACAGAAAATAAGTATAGCTTAATAAAAGCAGTACTAAAAGGTATGTGGTTTCTCCTGCTACTTCAGAGGTTCCTGGACTCAAAGTTGCAATCCAATGCAGTCCATTCCTCTGTTAAACCTTTCCTTAACCCAAAATTCATGCTTTCTCCTTATTCACACCCTTCTTTACACCCGTTCTGTTACCAGAACTTGCTGACTGGCAAGTTCAGTCCCTAGTAAGATGACTGAGTTACTAATACACAGCTACTAATGAGAGAAATTAAAAACCCACTAATAATAAACAAAGAATGAGAAATAATCACTACTGTAAACAGACCACAAGATAGCAGCTAAGGAACAAGGAAATACAAATGAACACTGCTACCTGACAGTCTAAAGTCCATGAAACAATTAATACATAATTATGGAAGAGAAGTTGATGAAAAGTCTAACAATTAACTTTCCCAGCCGAACCTATCCATATACAGTCACATTTTAAAGTACCCATACCTAGCTGGCAATGCTTCTCTTTACATCTTCCTCCATTCTTTGATGTCCATATCCTTAGCCGAGTCTCCATGAAGGTAAGTATACAGAAATAAAAATTCACCTACAATTACACTACACCTGCAGAGATAAAGCTGTAACCCATCCTTTTCCACTGACATCTCTCATTATTACTCATATCTCTGTGTGAGAAAAGAACTCATAGTGAATACTGAATGTCTGTTTGTACAGACGGGGAGAGTCTAAACTTGACCTACACCCAGCGATGCAGACATCCAAAGCCACCTTAACAACCTTGCAGTGAACTATCTGGCTTGGGAAAACCTCTAGAAGGTCAGACCAGGAGACCACCCACTCTGTATGACACCTATGGAACAGACTGTCCTGCTGCAAAACACAAATGCTTTACTTTCCATCCAGAGCACCTATATAAGGCAAAAACTGCCTACACAGGCAGCAGTGATTGCCTAGGCTCACTAAAATAACTGCTTCACTACAACTCCAGCAGAGGGAAAAATAGCTGCTTTATAGCCTAGGAGCACCCTAATTACGGGGGCAGCAGCATTTCACAAGGGAGGAGTCGCCCATTTCTATCAATGGACTTTTTGTGTTGCTTCATTGAAGCCTGTTGCAGGCTGTTGCTGTGTAGGAGCAGCTGCTGTCACTTGCAAGAATCAGCAATGCAAAAAAGCAGAGCAATATCTGAAGGGAGGATCGGTGTTTGTACGTGAGTTTGCTTGGGCCTGACTTCTTCAAAGGGAGCAAGTTGTAAGAGAAGTTTGAAATAGGCTGTTGTTTAGTCTAGAAAAGGCTGTAAAAAGATTTGATAAAAGACATGCTACAAAGGGCTTCTTTTTGCCACATTACTGTGGAAGGGGCAAATAATAACGGTTTGCATTTGCTTCCAAGGTGATGCAGGTTGGCTCTTGGGGAGGAACTCCCAGCAGTAACTCAAGCCCTGAGATAAGACCGTCAGGGAGGAGGCAGGTGCTCTCTTTTTCCCGGATGCTGTTCACCAGGAGTCTAGGGTGGTTTAAGCATAGCAGATCCTGCCCTGAGGACAGAGCTAGACTCTGAACTCTTATTTTTTTCTTGATGGAAAAAATTATGTTACAGCCTTAAGGCAGGAGAATATTGTGGCTAGCAGCAAGTACCAGAGCACATGTATCACACGACTAAAAATAATTTTACCGTCTCATTTTTGTCAGTGTCCCTCCAACTGTGCTAGGAACTATGTTTAGATATTGCAGTAAAAGATACTTCTCCCACTCCCCACTGCTGATCCACGTGATATAACATTGAGCACAGATTAGCTCTTAAATTTTTCCAGGGAAACTTCATTGATTTTTTAAAAACAAGACAAATATGCAAAGGCCTATTGTAGCACCATATCTCAGGCTGTCTCTGGGTTACTGCTGATACTTATCCATCCCTAGAAAATTTTGTGCAGACAATATAATCATGTTGCACAGACAATTCCTTTGCAAAGGATTTCCAAACCTTGCATGAAAACATTGCAATGCTGTATAAGTCCCCTGCAAAGTAATCAACTGTGCAATGAATGGCAATGAATGCTTTATCTCATGGAACTGTACAAGACTCACCCAGGTGAGGAGACGACCCAGTGGCAGAAAGACCAGGGCTGTGGCCAGAGGTTGCAGGACTGTGATTCTCCCAGCAAACTAGGGAGATGGCCCAGGTCTCACTAAATCTTCTCCTGCCTGCTTTGGAGTCTGA